GCGAGCGGCGCTTCTTCGCCCAGGTCGCCACCGTTCCCGTCTTCGCACCCTGTCCGGCGTAGCTCTGCTCGACTATTGGCGAGTGGCGCGAGGATGCTTTGGACGACTGGCGCGAGAGGGGCACTCCTGAATTGTGGCGCGTCGGCGTGGGCAAATACTCGACCTGGCGCCACCCCTGAGGTGGCTCGATCGGAGTGACCAGTGGGATTGCAGGGGACGCAGGGGACTGCGGCCCTACCGTCTCGCCTCCCTCAATCTCTACCGTGCTGTTGAAGGTGCTGTTCGAATTGATCCGGATGCTCGGCGCGCAGCTCTTCCTGCGCCGCTGGGTCGCTCCGGGAGGGAGGACGCCCTTTTCCAGCTGGGAACCTGGTTTGTCGCTCGTCGAAGTTGGCTTTGTATCGGCAGGTGCCGTGCCAGATGACGGAGAGACGATGGTGTCTATGGAAGAACTGGGTGTGTGGAAAGGCGCGGACTGGGCAGGCGACCCTGCAGGGGGAGACACCAACGTACAGGCTGTGTACGCCTCGGACACCACGGTCGCGTCGCTGTTCCTGCTGCCTGTCTCCAACTTATCGTCGTCGAACGACGCTAAGATAGGCGCATCCAGCTTCTTGTTATTCAGCGCCGGAATGGGCGGTCCAATCCAGGTTGCATCGCTCCCACGGCGCGCCTCTTCCGAAGCCGCGGGCCTCCTGCGTTTGGCGCTGCGGCGGTAGACGAGGAAGATCACGACCATGGCCAGTACGAGAGCTACTGCGCCGCTCAACGAAGAGGCAATGATGATCGCTTTGGTACGGCCGTTACTGAGAGCAAACAGTCAGTTGTGCGTCCGACTACTCCCCGGTACTGTGACACACCTTCTGCTACCCAAAGCGACTGAGGCGTTATCTGTGTTACTCGCGCTCGCGGTACTGTCAGGGTTGGACGCGGACTGCTGACTCGACCCAAGTGCAAGGGGTGAGACACTACGGCAGTGTGAATCAGACCTCAAATCATCCCAAAACAATCGGGACTCACTGAGGCTGCAGTAGAGGTTGAGAAGCGACCGGTTGAGGCGGCAAGGCAGAGGTGGCAACCACAGTGCCCTGGTTCGTACCGCCTTGAGCGCCAGCGTCTGCAACGTTGGGGTCGATTAACGGTGAGGAGTTTCCCGAATCTCCGGTGGTGTTGTCGGTGATGGTGCCAGAGTTCGAAGTGGTGCCAGTGGTATCTGACGTATCTCCGTCAGGATTTGACGCGGTTGGATCTGTAGGATTGAGAGGGGGCAAGGGAGCGTCGGTCGTGATGTCGGACATTGGGAAAGTCGTTGCAGGTAGGGTTTCGTAAATTGGGAGGGTACGGGGACAGCAAAACTAAAAGCAGAAACAGAACTGTCCGACCTCGCAATAGTGGCGCGATGGACGCGGGTGAAAGAGTGCGAATCTGAACACGGGAAGCAGAAAAGGGATGCTTGCTCCTGAGCAGCGGAAGGTCTTGAACCGTGTTCTCAGAGACCCACTCTGTCGTAGCAGGCCGCGCTGCAAAGCAAACAGAGCGAGAGAACAGTAGAAAGCAGACAGCGAGCGATTGAAGGGCGGCGAGTAGCAAGCGAGCCGGCGCGTCAGAGACCAGCCCAAGGAGCGAAGCAGGCTCACCAGGAGCCAAGAACAGACAAAAGAATAGAAAGGAAGGGGGACGGAGACTGCCTGCGGCGGGAAGAAAGGGCGCCGGACCAGACGTGGTGGACGACCTCGTCAAAGGTGCGCGGGCGCCCGCGCTTGCCCTTCTTGGGGCAGGTAAGTACGGCGGCGCAGCCTCGGCGAGCCGCATCATCGTCACCCTGCGGCGCGCATCGTCGTCGTCGAACGACATCCCTGATTCCCTCGCCCGTGCGTGCGTGCGCGGGGCGAGCGGCATCATCGACCGCGGGCTGGGTGATGGTGCACCGCTCGCTAGGAGCGGATCACGGCCGTCTCCTCGCCATCGACGATGGGTGATTGCGGTCTGTGGGCCGAGCCAGCTGTTGGGGGGCGCGGATCCGGCGTTCGCGGTAACGGACGACTATCTTCGGCGCGGTTGACGGGGAGAGGACATGATAGACTCCAGCCGTTGATGGAGGCATCATCGCGGCTGTGCTGGCGTCCTTCGACATCTTCGACGAGCGGCCTTTATATGAGAGGATGGTGAGTAACAACGGTACTAGAGTATATTCGGCTTTGTGTGGTAATGATTGAGAATGGGCATGATTTGGGCAGACCTAGTACGTGGTGGGGTGACAGGAAGAGACGCCTGCTCAGGTGTGGCTATCGTCGACAGCCGTGGGACCCACAACCACAAACACGCTGCGTGCTACGCACGAGCCCACATTTTCACAAAAGATCGGCCAGGCCTTAGAAAACAAACGTATATTCCGGGCCTCTTCAACATGACCTGAAGTCATCGGGAGAGAATACATCGACGCTCTCTCATGGTGGCGACTTTAAGTGTGCTTCATCAGACCCCACGCTACCCACTAATGGCCAAGTTGACATCTGTCATTCGCACCATCATCAGCGAAAAACATGCTACCACTTGAATGCCGAGACCGACACCGATAGCCCTATATGATTATCCAAATCCAACTGGATCGCCGTAGACTGAGAAGCCCTGCTGTACGAAACATGCCACTACCTGAAGGACGAGGAACGGGGAGAGGAGAGGGAGAGGGAGAGGGGAAAGGGAAGGGTCAGGGGGGCGGGGGAAAGAGACGACAACGCGACAATCATTGCACGGAAGCATCTGCGTAACGTACGGTTTACAAATAAACAACACCAACGTACCGCGTCGAACAAGAGAGAGCATGGATACAGCGTGGAGGGGCTACAATAAATTATACACTTACGGAGGGGTACCTACCTTGGAACGTCGTGATATCGTGAATGAGGTAAGAGGGTATCGCGAAGGAGATGCGTGATCAGGGTTGCGGCGTCGAGAGAAAGCGACCCTGTGGAGATATGAGTAACTGTCCGAGAGAACAACCGAAGTTGGACTCACCTATACGCTTGTCGCCGCGGACATTCCGCAACTCCTCTACCGGATTGCGCACGCCTCGTACAAGGACGGCGCCTTGGGGGCCTTGAACTTGCCCCACACCTCCCAGACCTTGAGCTGGGACTCAGCCGGGACGGCGAACACGATGCGGTGACCATTCGGGCTTAAGTAGCTGTCCGCGATGTTCGACGTCGCCACCGACACGCTCGTCACCCGGCGCATGGTCGGGAATTGGTGCACGACGACCGAGTTCGCGATCTCGGATGGGAATGGCGTCGGCGGGGGAGGCCCGCTGGCGAAAGGGTCCTCGAGCGTCAAGATCGGCGTCGGTGGGCTTGGTTGGATGGCATTTGCGGCCGCCGCGGGAATGGCGATGGGCGGAGGGGGAGGGGCCGGCTGTGGGCCGGGGCCGTGGGTGCTGAGCATCTCCCGGATATGCGGGGAGAATTGCAGGGAGGTGACTTCAGCGTCGAAGTCGATCTTGGTGGGCCATTCGGATGTCGAATTGTCACCGACAACGTCCCAAACACGAATAGTGCCTTTGCCATCCGGAAGTGAATCGCCGGTGACGAGATGTCTCTTCTGCCAATCGCACCATGCGAGAGCCTACGACGATCAATAACAGCGGTTACAACCGATTGTACGCGAAGAGCTGCTCACCGTGACGGGACCTTCGTGTTGCATTTTGCGACGCCGAGAGACCATCTCGCCAACATCCAGCGGCGTCCGAGGGTGACGAGCGTCCCACACCAAGACTTGGCCTTGGCGATCGCCAGTAGCCAGAAGTTGACTGCCCTCCTTCCAAGCGCCCTTGGAGACTGGGCACTGATGGCGAGTAACCTTCTTGCCTTGCTCCTTGATCTTGGTCGAATCCTTGGTCCTCGGGTCGTAGTGCCAAAGGGTACCCTTCTCGTCCCCAACGGTGAGCACTTTCTCGCCGAAGAACATAGCCGTGACGCTCTTCATCTTCCAGTTGAGGACCATCTTCTTCGCCGTGATGTCCCACAACTGGACGTGTCCATTCGACGTCGCGAGCGCGACAAGGTTCGGATGGTCCCTTCCGCCGCATTCGACCAACCGCAAACGCCCCAAGCCACTGTTGACTTTGCACAACTGTTGCGCAATATCCTCCGTATCGGCCATGTTCTTGATGTGAACGCGTTTTCCACGGCCGAACACGACGGTGTTTGTCTGAGACCAACTCACCGGCGAGGCCGGCACGGGATCTACCGGTGCCTCGGTCGGTGCCGGGGTGACCGCGTAATCGATGGTGTTGACGGAACGAAGAACATGAAAGGCGGAGTGAGGGGCATGAGTTGGAGTAGCGGGGGTAGTGGAGTCCCTGCGACGAATGTCGCTCGAGGACGAGGTCCTCATCAAGCCGGATACCATCGCGTCGCCCGCTATCGATGACGCCCGAGAGGGAGTGTTGGAGTAGATGAACGACGATGAAGCCGCACTGAGGCGGGGACGACGTGGGCTGGAGTGTATTGTCCTTGAGAGCTCGTCGCTTTCGTCGAAGAATGAGCGCGATCTGGAGGGACCGGGCGAAAGCTGGGGGACGCGTCATGAGCCGCAACACGCGACGAGCAGGCTCTTCAGCACTTACACTGCTCACAGGCGTATCCGTCAAGGTGGATTGACGGCGAAGTCTTTTGCTCGAGGCCGAATCATCATCGGTCAGAGAACTGAGAGTCCGTTTTCTGGTCCAGGTCTCAGGCTCTTGCTCGGTGACCAGAGCGTTCAGAAGGTGACGTACCTCTGGATCCCTGGAGGACCGTGTCGCCAAGCCATCTCAGATTGAGCAAAGAAAGGAAAAGGGCGGTGGATAGGGGAGGAGGAAGAGATGTCTGGGAGAGACTCGGACGCGGAAACGTGTGGCAGGAATCAAGTCGAGAGCGAAACAAGCGCGCGTGTGCGGGGAAATGAATCCTGAGTCACATGACCGTCGCGTCAATCTCCAAAAAGGCAACGCGGCCCGTCAGACCCGACACTAGCAGGGTTCGAACGTACGCTCCGGATCCCAGAGGGAAACATATACTGCCTGTACGATTCTGATTCGTCGCCTTAACCACTTCGCCATAATGTCATGAACAACGACCTCAAACTGTTTCTTGGGCTGTCTGAGCCCGCGCTTTTGACGACGGCCCTATACGACAAACACAGAAACGCAACAACACTACGGGGGTATACTGACATCGGATAGCGACTAACGACGCCGCGGGCATCACAGAAAGCATACTCTAATCACAACCACTTCGCTCTTCTTCCCCTCAGAGCGATGCACCCATAACCATGGCCATCGCGCCCACGATCGCACCAGCGAGGCCGCTGTTGGCGAACAGGCTCGACGCGCCGTTCGAGCTCCCGCCTACGATGCCGCCAGCGAGACCGGCAGCCGCCGCGACCGCGCCACTGAGGAAGTTGCTGCCGCAGGTGTCCTGCACGGCCTGGTAGAGCTTCGTCTGGCCGGAGAGGAGGGCGGAGTGGCTGAGGCCGGGCGCGTAGGCGACCGAGGACTCCCAGCTGACGTACGAGGTGAGGATGTTGCGCGTGCACGTCACGCAGAGGGAGTCGGACGCGAGGTCGGGCTTGAGGAGGAGGAAGAGCAGGTTGTTGTCCGCGAAGGTCTGCGCGTTGACCGAAACGACGGACTGCGCGTCGGCGCGACGGCTGACCGCGTTCGACACGGTTGTCGAGTCGGACTTGAGGATGCTCGAGACGGTGTCGGCGGACGTGCCGGTAGAGAGCTTGTTAGCGCAGTAGGCGCCGGTATCGTCCTTGGTGCAGACAGCGTCCCTGAGCGGCGTGATCGCGTAGAGGACGTCGTAAATCTTGATGACATCTTGGTTAGGGCTCGACGAGAGCTCCGCTTCGCAGGCTTTGTAGAAATCGGTGAGCTTTGTACGGATGGTGGTCTCCGAGCATGTGGTCGTGGATTTGCAGACATCATTGAGCGTGTTGCTGATGGCGGAGGCAGACGCCTTGGCGGAAGCAGCGGTGGCGTTGGTGCTGGGTGCGAACGCAGCGGTCGCGTTGATGAGGCCCGACGTGCACGAGGCAAGGGAGGTGTCCTTGTTGAACTCGGACAGGAAGGTGGAGCAGTCAGTGCTGATTCCTGTGGGGATGAGAGAAGCCTGTACGTGTTCATATATTAGCAGCTGAACAAGTCACATCCACAAGACATTACAGGGGACAGCGCAGCTGGCAAACATGTAGGGGTGCGATGCTCTCGCGTTCGCGCCTGCTCATCAAACCAAAATACTCGGATGCACTGCCCAGTGCCCCCGGCGTCCAAGAAGACCTCCAAGAAACGTTACGTGTAGTCTTGGACGCAGATTATGTTCCTTCTAAATGCCCTTTTTGCTGCCCCTTTTTCTGCCACGTCCCGGCGCGTAGAAACACGAAACGGTGACTCACAGACTGGGCCAAGGCGACCGAGGCGAAGAGCGTGGCTGCTGCAATAGACTTCATGGTGAAGTAGATACGATACGCGCAAGGAGCGGACGAGTTCTTAGAGTCGACGACGACGGCGGGGGGCGAAGGAATGGCGAACCAGGGCAAGCCGAGGACGAACAGGACTTGTTCAGCGTCGCTAGGACAACATGCACAAACAATCCTCGGGCTTGGCGTCGTTCCGGGGCTGGCAACGCGCGCCTATCACGCTCATATGCCCCGCCGGAGGTCCCTGGCCGTGAGTCCCTCCACTTTCATTGGCTCCCGCTCATAAAGAGGGGCATAACCAGGAAGCTCTGCATATCTGTACATCCTTATGACTAGAAGCTGCCTAGCCTGGTCAAGGTCTGTCGGTCTGGGGGTAAGAACTCGCGGCGTATCCGACTATACTCACAGTGGCTGAACTGCTTCAGACGTTGAAGAGGGACACATGGTGGCACGGGCGTAGTAGTTAGCAGAGGAGTAATATGCCGACGATTCAGAATGAGTGAGAGCGACTCTGTACGTGAGATCTCGCAACGCGTTGGGAGAGAAGAGGGCGTGCAGCGGAGGAGATAGTAAAGGTATATGGTAGACACGCCCCCCTTGACTCACTAGCCTCTGGGAGACACGTCCCACCCAGGACTGCCCGGGTCTTGGCACTTGAGCTTGCGAGCCTGATCGATGGCAAGTACGGCGAGGGGGGGGGGGTTGAACAAGTTACAAAACGAGCGGCCCAAAAGTTATCTACATCCGGGTAGCCATCTTCCGGGTGCGGGCGGAGTCGTCATCATTTAATACGCTGGGAACTTGATACCACAGGCTATAGTCACTTTAGATACTTGCCGACAGGGCTGAACGAGACAACGTTCGCAATTGTCTTGATTCTCACATCTGGCCACTGTGCGCGTATCTTCCCACTCCACCAATCCCGGCCCCGGGCGGGGTCGCGTTGCGCTGAGTCGGCGAGATTCGCTCCAGCCTCTCCCGTGACTGGTCCGTGAACTCGCGCCTGATGCATTCGTCGCGCTCCAGCCTCGGCGAGGACGGAGTCGATGATTCGCTTGCACATTTCAGTGGGCTATCTTGCTTGATCGATCCGTGCAACAGACACAAAAACGAAATCAGTGTCCAAAGCCCCACTAGCGGCCCCACGAGAGTCGTTTTCCGTGCGAGGAAGCTAATAGCGTGTTTCCGGTGGTCCACTGCGACGCGCAGTCCAGAAATCGAGGAGACAAGGATGATACAATGCGAGCATGAGGGTGCCATTTGCGCAGCGCCCCCGGGTGCTCGTGCGCCTTTTGGGCATTTTGGCAGCCCAGCACAGCCTAATTGCATATGCTCCGGAGGACTTTGGATGAACCTGAACACAGCTTAGCCACATCGACTGGATCTGATGAGCATGAACTGTACTTCTTTAAGTACCGCTTCGATACGCACTTCTCTGATTGACCACCAGATCACAGTACTGTAGGGATGCACCTGTGCCAAGGTGTGGGCCGGTCATGAGGTTGCAAAGCTGGAAAGCAAACTTGAGCGGTCCACTACCTGAGAATGACCGATGATCGGTTACGCAGCTTGAGTCCCCCGATATCCTCACGGGTCAGCGAGGCACCTCACGGACCACGATGCAGAGCCCACCTTGCCTGCTGAGCAGATGTGTCGGCGCGCCCCGAACCTAGTAGTAGAATGCAGTAGCGCCATTCAGGCAAATGACGGGAACGGTGTCACACACGCCTAAGTCGCGTATCTTGGCTTTGTAACTGGCACAATGATGGGGGGAGACAGAATCAAGGAGGGAGGGCCATGGGAAAGGCAAGGACATCATGCGGGGTACGCACATAGTAGTGTCGCTGACAATTGCCGTTGCGGGAGACTGGTCCTGCATCCACAGATGAGATAACGCACAGGTAAATCATACACGAACCGGAACCAATTTTTTCTCCATTACCCTATCATACACTTCCTCCTCCTTCGAAGCACGTACGCACCGCCATGATGATGCACGGTGCATCGAGGCTCAGTCGAACGGGCGCATGACCTCGTTCGCGCGCACGTCCGTCGCAAAGTTGCTCCGCACGCCCGCGCGCCAGTTTGGGACCTCGAACGTCGAGGTGTGGCACCACGGCTTGAGCGCGAGCTCCTTCTCGATCACGCGTGCGAAGTGCTCCGACCAGCCCTTCCGCGGGAACTTCCCCGTCGTGGTCTCGATCAGCCGCGGGTGCACGAGGTTGGCGCGCCTGCACAAGTGAACGAAGAGGGGCTTCTCAGATCGAGTGTAAAGTCAATAAAACAGTGAGTACTCACAGTCCGACGTTGTCTGTTGGGGGAAGCCGGTTGACGTGGGTGTAGAAAGATAGTGTGCGGGATAACATACCGAGGATAGTGGCGAGCTGCAGAATCTGGCCGACAACCGTGATGTTACCTCTTCCAACGACTCGTCAGCATCTCCCCTCAGCTCCCGCTCGACCGCTTGACTGCTCACCCGTTGACAAAGATGTCCTGGTGGCGGATGATCGCGTCGCACACGCTGTCCGCCGCGGGCTCCGCGCCGCCGAGGGAGAGGATCAGGTCGCGCGCGACGATCGCGCCCTTGAACTCGAACGAGAGGTGCGTCGTCGCAAGAAACTTCTCCGCTGTGCCAATGTCGTGCAGCAGGCACGCGAGAGCGTAGGTCTCCACGATCGTCGGCGTCTCGCTGTACTCCCACTCCGGGAAGTGCGTCTTCGCGATCGCCGAGCCTGTGGTGCGCGTGAGCCCGCGCGGGAAGAGGGCCAGCCGCTGGTGCCGGAGGGCGACGTACCGTATACGAAGACCCGGTTGCTGTGGTTGAAGGTCTGTTCGTCCAACTCTTTCTGGAGGTATTCTTCAGGGCGTGGCGAATACTCTTCGTAGCGATGCACATACCTTCGCGAACGTGAGCACCTCCCGCACTACGTGGGTGTCAGGCAGGGGAAAGTCGCCCACGACGAACAGGTCCTGCTTGGGGTTTGAGCCCGACGCGGTCGGGTGGTCCTTGAACAGCACCTCAGGGTCGCGCGGGACAGGGGCGAACCCATACAATTTCCAGTCTTCAGCGGCCATTTTGAGTTCGAACCTGCTTAGTATCGCTGCGTCGCTGGTTGTAGAAGAGAGGTATTGTGAGAGGGCCCCACTGAACGGTGTAGCTTTTATACCTGCAGTAGATGTCAGCAGCTCCGGTCGCGATCGGGGGCACGACAGTCGAGGTAGCACAAATCAGAGGGGGTGCGTGCTCTTCGTCCCAGACGTGGCAGCCTAGGGCGGCTCCTAGGACGGGATTCGAGCCTGCACACAATCGACGTGCTCGCAGGGGTCATGAGAGCACAGGGCATGACAAAGCACATGCTCTGGGAGACGCAACTCGTGCAACCGCACCTTGCGCCACATAATTGAAAGCCATCGTCACATGGACGCGCACTTCGACGAATTCCGGACGCAGAACGTGCCCATTCACCGCTGCGACTATCAGCAAAGTCTATCATCCACCTACTCGTATTCCATTGAGCGACGGTGCAGGGGGAATACCCCCACCTGCGCTAACAGCCTGATGGGCAGCGAAACCCGAGCATCAATTGACTAGATGCGCTGGGATGCGGACATTTTAGCCTCGGGTTGGAGGAGGACGGAGGATAT